GATGGCGGCTGATGCTTAAAGGTTGTTGCCCTGCTGGAGGTTCTTTTTGTTTTGTTTTCTTGGCGAAGGACATAATGTAGCATTTGGTAGGGGCAAAGTTCAGTTCAAACCTTACTATCATGCGCCACGCATATGTCACATTTATAACATAGGCGTACGGGCCGGCGGGGGGCGCAAATTAAGTACTCGGGAGAAAACGTTCTAAAAGGTTGTCAAGGTCAGACTTGTATTAGGCTACTTTCTCTAACGTTTGCCTTGTCAAAACGGAGTCAAGGTCAAATGATCTAAAGTCATCTTAGGATCCAGAAAATCTGTTTTGAAAAAGCCATATATGTGTATCGTGAAAATCCATGAGATGGATATTAGTTCAACAAAACAATGACAGAATCAAAGCAAACGAAGACCTAGACTTCTGTTTTTGTGGTGGCTCTGAAAAGAGTCGTTTTGAAGGGCTCAACAAACAGCCGTTTTAAAATTTTCTTGAAGTTCTCGTACGAGGAAGAATGTACTGTTTCTTTCATAAGTTTCTGACTTTACTAGGCTGTCGATCAAAGTCATAAAGTATGCGAGGTTTCAAAATAAGTACAGTGCAATCCCGATTTCTCAAACCCTCATTTTTTTCGAACCTCCCGATAACTCGAAACAAAAGTCATTCCCTCCCCTCAGTCGAACATTGTAATTTTACCCCAGATTTCTCGAAATATCCGATTTTTCGAATTAATTTTCGTTTCCCTTGGAGGTTCGAAATAATTTTGGAATGATAACATTTTCATTAGACGAGAGAATTGTCAACGTTTTTGTTTTTACTCTGATTTGAGTGCGTTTCATATATAGCACATGCTTTCGGGCAATGTGTAATTTTTTCGGGCAGTAAGATCACCCCCCCCCCCCCCCCCCCCCCCCCCGCCCCCCACTATGACTCCCCTCATTATTNACAAGTCCGAAAGTGCCCGTACGCAATAAATGATTTATTTCTTTGACCATTTTAGGTTCATTTTATTTTCTATGCAACCGTCTCCCGTAGTATACCATGGAATATGCCACTTGTTACTTGTATTTCCTTGGTATACACACTCGCCTAAAGACTCGCCTGAATACCGAGAAAATACAAGTGACTAGGAGTGACTCATAGAACATTCCATGGTGTACCACTCGAAAGCATTGTGTAACTAGTTTAGGGCTAAGCTCGTACCTAGGCCTTTTTGGGCTGTGCAAAAATTTTTCTGGTTTACCTCGTTGTTTACTTGTATGTTTATTTCCAGTGTTACTTCAGGTTGCACAGCGCGAAGAGAGCTAGGCACGAGTTTCGCGCTGTAGCGGTTTTCTCTATAAGTTCACGTATTAAGATGGCAACTATTCCTTTCTATCATCCCTTCATTTACTCTCATCCTGCTAAACAGGATTGTATGCTCCCTGTGGTCAAATCGTTAAAACAGAAAACACTCAAATAGTAAACAGAAGTCCCAGAACTTTATTGAGCTGAACTTTTTAAAGGAAAAACGGAGGGTCAGAGTTTTAGATTGAATCAATACAACTCGTATAGAGCTCAATACAAACTCCTACAATATGCTATGGTCATGCTCACCTGTGACCCCAAGTAATTATACAGGGAGATGTAGAGGGTCTAGGTGGGGTTTAACAAATGGTAATTCGACGTAACCTCGTTCCCTAGGGCTTTTCTCTTAGAGATTGGGAAGGACCACTCCCAATCTCTAAAGCAAAACCCCTAGGCTAACCTGGCTAAAATTGTCGTTGAGTATTAAAAGAACGTCACTGAAAATTCCCTGGTAACCTGCCTAGTGCGAGACGTTGTCAAGTGACCGGTTATGTGTTCAAACTTCTAAAGGTTGATAAACATTCATGAAATTCGCGTAAATTGAAGTTTTCTATGAAATCCTTGACCTTTTCGTGCTCGATGTGTGCTCTTAACCTATATTTTGCCCAAACGTTGCTCAGAAAGGCAAAGCTTGCTCGAGGTTGCTAGAACCGCAAAAAGTTGCTCAAAAGTTGCCGAGAACAATCGGCGGTAAGTAACGTTTGCGACGCAGGCTAGGAATGACTAACGGCTGAAACATACCCGAATATATTCTGACATACAAATCCTTAATTTACGTGGGCTTCGGCCTGCTTATTTACTACGGAGTCACAGAAGTGTTACCAGCGGCCAAAGCAAGACACTTTCAGGAGACAAGCTGCTTCGTGAATTACGGCGCATTCGACGGTGAAGAAGTCTGTGATTGTGGAGCCGGCTTCCCACTAAGTTCTTGCTATCCATGTCTTA